TAGAGTAAGTAATATTTTATATTCTCTATAATAATTATCAAATTTTTAACCCCCTTTCAACCCACGAAAACTAAACCTTGATAAAAAATTGTTAAAAAAAATTTTTTGATAAAATGAAAAGGATTTAAATATTATTCCACACTCTTGAAAATGATTATCATATTCTTAAGCTTTTATAACCTTAAAACTACTCCTAAATTAAAACAGTAACTATATATGATTACATATTTATACTGGTCACATTATAACGAATAAACGGAGCACGCACAGCTGATCTCATGGCTTTTTCGTTGGCCCCTTCACTCAAATGTGTTATATATACATACTGGTATCGATTCTGGCGTGATTCTCTAAACTTAAAACTAAATTTAACATCAGCCTCTCCTTGTCATTCTGCATAGAGAATGACAAGGATGCACTGTTGTCAAATTTAAGTTTAGGTTTAGAGAATCATGCCAGAATCGACATCACTAGCTGACCCAACGAACTTCGTACCGCCCTAAAAAAATAGGGGTTGTCCAACGGACCATTCTCAGATCCCCTTGAACACACACAAAAAATTTCATCAAAATCGGTCCAGTCGTTTAAGAGAAGTTCAGTGACATACACACTCACAGAAGAATTATATATATAAAGATAAGAACGTTGGTATGTATTCATGCCTACGTTTCCAAAATATATGAGCCATATTATGTATATATATACACATTACAATAGTTGTGGGTCTCTATTATACTGCGTACTTTCACATTGCTCCAAATATTCACACCGAAATTTTCAGTTACTAAGTAGAAAAAAATATGATAAGTTTTTGGGCCATAACTCCTTCAAGTTTCATGCTATCACAATTTATAAAAAACTATTGTAAAGGTAATTAAGAGAGCTACAACATCCTTCATTGCAATATATAGTAAAAAACCTTTTTCTGTGATTGCGCTGCCACGCGCTCTTTAAACAATCATATCTCCGTCAATTTTTGTTTGACAGAAAAAACAAAAAAACCAAATTGTTTGTCAGAAAAATACCTAAATTTTTAATCCGTACACTTTTATACGTATCTGTCGTCATTTTTGATATATTATGAAAAAAAGTGGGTTATTTAAAAAAAAAATTGGTTTTTTTAATCGTGACTTTTTTGAAAAATATGTGTCCTGAAGCAGCCAAACTGATACTATCTATCAAACTCTTCATAATAAAGTATATATATACAAATATTTCTAGGCGGAATACGATTAATTTTAATTTTGGTGGAAATGGCACTTATGAAACCCATTGATTTAAAAGAAAAAACATTAGATGCTCCCCTTATTTGCAATACAGCTCACTTATTTTACGTGCAAAAGACTTTTAATAGTGCTCATTTTAAAGCTTATTTCAAGCACTACAAAACCCTTTTGTATTAGAATACATAAAAAGCATCTGCTCGCCGCTAGATGGCATTGACCACATCGATTAAATTTCAGATAAAATAAAAAAAGGCTTTGATCTTTAATATCTAGCTTAATATTGCACTAAGAACACTTTATAAAAAACCAAATTATTCATTGTTTTACCTGCTACAATTTTTTAATAAAAAATTTCGATAAAACGTATATTTTAGGAGATATTTACAGAAAATCGATGAAAAACGTGAAAAAGTTGCTAATTTTCAATTGCCAATAACTTGAAAAGTATTGGATTTTTTGAAAAACTTTATAGATGATTTTTTGCTTAAAATGCTTAAAATTGGGCCTTCTATCGATATCCGATTTTATTTTGAAAAAAAAAAATCACCCCCGAGAAGGGGTGGCAACCACCCCCAGGGTGGTTGCGGAGTTCAAATCATTTTCACTTTTGAAGTTAAGGGTAAGATGAACCTAATTCCAAAATTGTATGCAATTCGGTTCACAGTAAAAAAATTCGGAGCGAAAATGCTTCAATGACTGCACTAATACGATTGTACGGATACACCTGCGCGAAGCAACTTCAGAGCGGACTAGAAGTTTGGCGCGATGTCTAGGCATGTGTAAATACTTAGGATATGGCTCCACCAACTGTATCTTTCATTGTGTTGCTTTGAAGTTAGATTTGCGCCAAGGGATTGCAGGCCTAAATACATACCTATTTGATATTAACTTCAGTATTTATCAATTTGCAAAATTGTACGTCGTATCATTAGCATCTAATCATTTAGGTGCTAATGATACGACGTACAATTTTGGTTTACAAACCCTTGCGGGAACTATCGTCTATTGTAACTTAAAATTGACATGGACCAATAATATTATTGGTCCTTGACACGAAGAAGGAAATTCGGTGGGGATATGCTAGGAGATGGAATATGGACGTTTTAGATCTATCACACCCGAACCACTATAATAAACACAACTCTATTTTTAGCACTTTATTTATTTATCGATCTACGATACAAATACATTTGTACATGGGTAATTTAAAACATTATGGCGTTTATTTTTGCCCTAACACTCATTATACATCTTGACGTCATAACTTAAGTAATATATCTACCTATCGTTCACTATTTATACGTCATTGTTCATGAATTTCATCAGAAGTATTGCATAGCATTCCTTCAATAGATTAGATGACAAAACAAAGCGTTTAATTATTACCAACAACAATGTAAATAGCCAATTTGAATTTTTAACATAAAATATTTAATTAACAGATGAAGCAAAACATTTATAAAGATAACTTTATAACATATTTTCAATACACAATAATTTGTTATTATTTCAATTAAATGTGGTAAAAAGGTACATAGTTCAGTATAGTTAAATAAAATTAATGAGTTGCAAGTTAAAGGGTAGGCACAAAAATACCTATTACCTATACCTAGGTAACTAGGTACCTACCGACGTTAAAAGCTTTCCGATAGCAGTTTTTTTTAAAGTACCTAGGTAGCTATAATTTCCGTTCTATGAATTACTTTTTGTAATAAAATTTACTTCATAATTTATGATAAGGAAGGTATTAAGTACAATAATCGGGATGTTCTAGCTAGGGGATGTCACTTTATCATAATCGTCAACTTTTTATTCATAAATCGCCTTCTTAGGGGCCGTTGAAAATCTTTAATTAGGTACGAATTATTGCTATTGATTTCATTTTCCTTATATGTAGTAATAAGTACCTAGGTACATAAGCATAGGCAATCAATCATCAAACCTGCCTTAGATGCAATCAAAATGTAAGCATTCGATTGTTACTTTTTTCGTTTAACAACATTTAGATACATTATGTTATTAGCAGCAAACACAGTGATAGCCATCTATTTAATAACAACATTCAGAGAACTGACATTATCTTATAAACAGCTATACAAATTTTTCGTTTTATTATTAATCAACATGGTATTTCTGGCTGGCAAAAGAACGCTCAAGCCACGGTAATAATATCATAATATTACCGTGCTCAAGCTTACCTAATTCGGTACAATTTAGGGTTAAAATAATATGTCGTAAGTATTACGGTTGAAAATACAACAATAAGGTAGGTAATACTGACTTATTTAATAAAAGTTGCCAAATTTTGTTAAATTCTCACTTTTTTGCAAGAGTACCTATATGTAGGCGTGTGATTTTTTTATGCTTAAAACTATTGAAGCTGGTCAAGCAAAAAAGTGAGAGTTCCCATTAACACCTAAGTCATTATTAAGTCATTATAATACTATTAATGAAACATTACTATATATTTTTAAAATTCTATAGGGTGTTTGAAAGTAAGGTGCAAAGAAATATGGCTGAACTTTTTACCAATATAATGATTATGTAGGCATGACATTCTGCTTATAAATGATCTACATCATTAAAAAAAGTAATTATTGTTAGTAAAACAAAACTAGCTGAGTACCCGTTAGGTAATCTACAGGGTTACTTGGTAGGCGTGGCTTAATTTTTATTTAACAGATAACATATTTGCACCCTACATATAACACCCTTATTCACCTGTAACGGTCAAATAGTAAAAATTATGAATGCATCCTAAACTTTCTGAAAGTTATTTTTTTTTAATGGTAACTCCATTTACCTATTTACCACGAAAATGTAGTCATAGCAATGTTTAACATCACTAGAGCTTTTCATTTAAATAATCCATATCATACATTTTTTTTTTAATTATTATCTACTATATGTATTAAAACTTTGCACAGTATAAATTTTTGCGTTTGTAAGTATAATACAATTTATTGGTATCTGTGTGAGATCACGTAAGAAACTATTAAGCTACTCACAACATCCTTTCCTCCATAATAACAATACTTATAAGCTAGGTAATATTTCGCTTCATATTAAAATACTTAGATTATATTTTTTAAACTAAATCATATTTTGATGGAAGAACTAAGGCCCACCACTTGTACCAAAGTTCTTTATTTAAATTAAAGCTTAATCGTGTTTAGTACATCATTCCATCTCTGTCTGCTTAACGTCAAGTAAAGATGGCATGACGCTTATAATAAAATTAGCTTTTAAATTTGAATTAAGAACTTGGTGAAAGTCGCCATAACTGTCACTATGTTTTTGTTTTATTTACGGAAAGTTTACGGATCGAAATCTAGAAATGGGTCCTGTTTAAAAAAAAGTGCATAAGACCCGGGAGAGATAATATAAATTGATGTTAGTATTTGTAGTTAGTAAAAGAATACTTTTTGAGTGTGTATGCTGTTGGTCGCAGATGACCTTTACAGCGTCACCGGGTTTGGGGACGGCGAGATCCTAAGGGGACCTCAAGCTTAGATTAAAACAAAAAGGGTAGATACGGCACTAGCCTCACAAAAGTGATCCGCATAAATTGTGGTCCACGACCCTAATCGCTTTAGCAACGCTTTAGTCACAACTTGACATGTAAACGACGTACATGTGAACGCCAAAAAGAAATATTGCTAATATTTTGTGTTTATATGATAAAACAATGCCTAAGTGTGTTTTTAAAAAGTGCTCAAATTGCTCAAAAACTTAAAATAAAACCCACGGCATCACTTTTCATTCGTAAGTACTATAAAATATATTTTTTCATTAAAATTGCTGTTTGTTTTGAATCTTATTCAGTAGTGACGTCGAGTACTGGTCGCGTGATTGGTCGGTAGTGCAGTGACGCGGATCTCGCCGTCTCGTTCGCGCTGCCGTTGAAACTGAACGTGCTGTTTCGTTCGCGTCGGTAATGCAGTGACGCGGATCTCGCCGTCCCGTTCGCGCTGCCGTTGAAACTTAAATTGCTGTTTCGTTCGTTCGATTGTATCTTTACAAACAGGTGGATGTGTGAGTGTTGCATATGTAGTAAAGTGGGATCAGTTTTTGTTTGATGCAAGTATGAGCGTACCGTATCTACCCTTTTTGTTTTAATCTAAGACCTCAAGCCGAGAATTGGCGAGTGCCTCTGGAGGTATTCCAGGCGGTGGCGAGCCTCCAGACCACTCGAACCTGAGGGGGTCGGCTCAACTAGAGGGCGTCTCTGAGACTCGGACCTCGGCTCTAGTAAGCCGTTGTCGTGGGGAAAAGAATACTATTTGCGGGATGCAACTCAATTACACTCGTAATTTTAACTTTGTAATTTCCTAATACACTCAACCATAAAGAAAAAGGTTGGAACTCTGATTCGATTTTCTCAAAAGTATAAAACTTACGACTACTACAGTTATACCTTCAGAAATGCGTTTCATGATGATTAAAATGTGTAAATTTTTATTCTAAAATATTATTAACCTATTGTATAATCAAGCAAGAAAAACAATGCTAACGATTTGCTTATTTTTGTATAAAGTTGCTTTTAACGTTCTATTTTATAAAATGAAATATGCTATATCCATACTCGGTATAGAAGTTCGCTCAGACCTGAATCCAAAGGACTACATCGAAACCGTGATCAATACAGCTTCACGCAAACTCGGAGTCCTGAGCAAGGTGCGGCGTTTTTTCACGCCCGATCAGCTGTGCTTGTTGTACAAAACGCAAGTGCGGTCCTGCGTGGAATATTGCCTGCACCTTTGGGATGGCTCCGCCAAGTACTTGATCGATGCTTTGGATAGGTTACAGCGGCGCGCGATCCGCATCATAAGCGATGAGGAGGTGACTAAACACCTCGAGCCTCTTCAATTACGCCGTGACGTGGCGTCATTAAGCGCGTTCTATCGTCTGTACCAAAGCGAGTGTTCTGAGGAGTTATTCTCTCATATTCCACCTTCCCCTTTCCAGAGGACTACGCGCGTTGGCCTACGTTGTCACCGTCTGACCGTGGCCACAATTCCAACGCGTACAAAGAAATTTAGTGACTCATTTCTTTGACGCACTATCCGTAAATGGAATGCTCTGCCCGCTGACGTGTTCCCTCTTACAACCTGGGATCCTTTAAAAGAGGCGTGAAGAAGCAACATGTAGGCCGGCAGGGTGAGGATGGCTAGAATGGCAGGTAGAACTACTGTATCAGCTATCTTCGCGTCTGGACTTCACCTTCGCTCAACATCAGGTGGGGTGGAGTCATTTGTCGGACCTATCTATAAAAAAAAAGTGATACTTCTTATCATTTCTTTAGTTTTTGTCCATAGTTTTCCCAGACGTGTGATTTCTTGCTGCGTTTTTTACTTGGACATACACCCAAGGGCGGATCCAGCTTTGGCGCCAGGGTGAGGTCATACAGTCGTGGTCAAGTCACTGTGGGTACAGATTGTGAAGTACAGATACAGACCCCCATGACCCCCCCTCTGGATCCGCCCTTGCATACACCGACCGACCGATGGAGACAATTGGAAAGGTACTCTTTTTTCGAAAACTAATAATATAAACTTTAAAAGTCGATTAATACCAATAAATTTCTGTTCATTTTAATCACCATGAAATGCACTTTCTGTAGATATGGTATTGTAGTAGTAAGTTTTATACTTTCTGAGAAAAGCAAATAAGAGTTCCGAGATAGCAAATGACCCGATTTATTTGCTGTCTAGTGTATGTAAGGTAGTCAATACCTACACAGGGGTGCTCAAACGGTCGATCGTTTAATTATCCGTTTAACCATAATATATGCTATGGTACACCCTACCTAGGTAGGTAGGTGGGGTGTATCTTGTATGTACGACAACCCTGCATCACACATACTCGCAGCCTCTCAGAGTCGATCGTAAGTAGTCTAAAAATTTGAGGTAGATCGCCAGCAGTTCAAATTTGAGCACCCCTGCTACAACAACGAAAGACCTAAGAACGAATCATATATTTTTCCTTTAAAAATTGTTTTTATTGGAAAATCCTTTTTAAAATAAACATCAACTATTGACAGCGAGAAGAAAATTAAAGCATTTCCAATCACAGAACTGAAATAAAATCAACTTCGCGTATTTATTGAATATAATCCAGTGCCTCTAGATAACACGTGAAAAACATGTGGCAAATATAAAGAAACAGTTACTGTTACGATCTACCTATTTACACAAAATTATAAAATACCTAATACTTACATTTTTAAACTGTATAATTAGGTAAATATTACATTGAATAGGTTTTTCGTTCTCCATTTTTGTGAAACAAATCAAATGTATAAGGTACAGTTGGGACCACATAACAGTTTTCTGTCTTGTGGTTAAGACGAAAACCCAACTAACATGTTTTGAATTCATTATTATAAGTAATTTATATGAGTAGGTAGGTAATAATTACAAGCATGCCTACAACTCTTAGAGTGTTTAAAGTATAATTTCTTTAATAAATGTAAGAAGGTAACAGCTATAGCTATGGACCCATTCGTCCATGATATAGTCATAAATAAAGTTTAATAAATAACCACGGCTGTTTATTTCATAAACATTTTCTTCGTGCCGCTTACAAACTAAGAACCTAATTTAGTTGCGGGATTTTGGAGGACCCAGAAATCTCGTTTTAGGTTGATAACCTATTCACTGGTATCAAGTCAGCAGACTTGATCCACACTTGATTAGATTGCCATATTTAAGACACATAAACTAAGAGGTCTCACCAACACTAACTATTATAATAACATTAACTTTATTCTGGTTCAGAATTGTTTGTTAATAATAATTTAACTTAAAAATAACGATGTATGAACAAAGTGTAATAATTTTCTATGGTGAACACAACGTTTAATTTACAAAGACAAAGTTTCTATGTCTAGTTTGTCTCAAAAAAATCTAGTTTGTTCTTACGTTCGGAAGGGGCGCTGTTTGGACTTGATAGAAAGTGACGTTGGCAATACGAATGACATAAGCAGGTTCTTTGACAGCTCCGTAATCGTATCGTATTGTCAAATTTTCAATGAAAATTAAGCAGCGCCCCTACTGGACGTAAGGACAAACTGGCTCCTTTCATACAAAATTTGACGATGACGCTTCGATTACTGATCTGTCAAAGCTCTTGCGTGGGCATCGGATCTGTCAAAGTTCGTGCTTGGGGTACAATTATAGGTCACAAAAATATTCATTCGTAGATCTTTAACCACAGAACAGAGAAAGTGGTCCCCCTTTCTGTATTATGTGCCTTTGCACATAATTTTTTGGTCACAATACATTAACTTATGAAACTTTACCCTTTATTCAGTAGTTGAAAAGGATCCACCAAATTCATAACGATGGGGCTCTGCTATCTTGCGATCATGTACCTAAACATCTACGGCAGCTCAATAGGTAAATTTATTAAGTGTTATCTGGGGGAAAAACTCGTATGATAAAAAAAATACATGAGTATTATATTAAAAAGTATTTACAAGCCGGCCCAGTAGCCAAAGTTACATACAATTTTACATACCCACATAATCTTTAGGAAACATCGATAGCGTATCCTAGCCATTTTGCTCTTGAGAATGGATAACCAACTACCTACAGTACTTATTTTCATTAGAAAAATTACCTGTATTAACATTTATTCTTTGGTAAAACGCAGGCAAGTTCATGCAGCGTATTTCTCAAAAATAACGCATATTTTTGTCAATTAAACGAGTTTCAATTTTGGTCTCCCATTTGGTCTTCCAGTTTTGCTATTTTGTTTTGTTTTTACTTATTTATTTCGTACTGACACCTCGTTACATACTAATTATCCAATTTACAACTAGCAATTATGAAAACACAATTATAAGCCATGTGTTTAACAACTACACTCTAAATTTAACAATCGCATACTAAGCTGAAAGCGGTCTCGTATTTATCAGTATAATATTGAAATTAATATTAATTGTCATAAAATCATAATTATCGGGTAACCTATTTATGTATCGAAAATCGAAGTAGCCCACGCATTTATATAGCGGCAGCTAATCCTCTTTCCATCTATTTTTTAGAATTTTTGTAATTATTTAGCGTCTGAATTATTGCTTTGATTTTCAAACAGATGAGTAGTAAATATTTAAGGGATGAGTTTAATTCTCACCTACGGTGATTCAGTGCAAATTTTCTATCATATATAACGAATTTTTTATATGACGTAAACTGGTGTCATAAGCATGGGTCGATCATTATGGCCTATTGGCCTTTGCCAAAAAATACTGTTAGGCCGTACTTTTTAAAGTCTTAATAAAGAATATTAACATCTAACCTATAATGTATCATTTATAATACTGATTCAATATTTGGCACTAGCATTTTGACTAGTTACTTACAGCCGTTTCATTAAATACTTAGTTTTTCACCAAGATTAAATCAGTGAACAGTACTGAAATCTTGAAAAGCATACATAGTATTCTTATAAGTAGTTACTTACAAGTGTGCGAACACAGGCTGCGAATTTGCCAAATGCGCTACATTTTTTCATAATCATAAATCAATTAAATTAATAAGTATCTATAATAAAATCATAAATCAATTAAATTAGTATTTTTTCTGATCTATATCTGAATTTTACTATTCTGAATTTATATCTGAATTTTGCTAGTCTAGGGTTAGTATTAACTTTTTCAAATATAAAAAACATGTTACAGCATCCTTATATTTGGGAAGACATTAATTAAAATAAAGGAATTTTCAGAAATATTTATTAATACCTGTTCGTGTTGTAGTACTTACTATAAGTGCACACACGTAATAGGGAGTGTGGACAATAATAGCACACAATATATTTGTGCACTTTTTTACTGTGTTAGATTGATAAGTCAGCTCAGCTATAAGCATATGATTAAATCCGCAACCCATTGTTTGTGTTAGGCGCCTTCCTCATCGGATTATTTTGTATCTGTACCGAATCAGTAGGTACAGATTCGTTACCGAGAACCAGTACCCATAGCACGAACCAATATCGAATTCGAATAGTTGAATGCGATCTTTTTAATCCGTCAAATGTGTACTGATTTTTAGTTCTCGTTACGTCCGTTATGGCGCTGCTGTTACACATAACATTCTTTACTTTATACAATATGGCTATGAACGTAATAATTATTTTTGTTAGATATCTATTTTCTATCTATTGATAGAACAGCCTGCTGTATTCAGCAGGCTGTCAATGTGTCTGGCAAGATGTAAAAACCATGAAAACTGTCCGTCTATTGAGGATTATCTTTTTATAGGTCCCCATTAATAAAATTTATTATTACCTGTAATCTTACTTTTTTTTATAATTTTATGATATTAAAATAACATTCTTTACTTTTTACAACGTGGCTATGAACGTAATAATTATTTTTATTAGATATCTTGAAAAAATCTAATCGACTAAGCATTCGCGCTCGTCAATACAGCAGGCTGTCAACGTGTCTGGCAAGATGTAAAAACCATGAAAACTGACCGTCTTTTGAGGTAACATGTTTTTATAGGTCCCCAAGTAACATATATAAAATTTAGCTATTATACTATAACGAATGTATAATCATAATTTATTAAAATTTAGGGGTGTCTGACAGGGGGTAGCAACTATCATAAGTGTCCGGCAATGGATGACGAGATTTCTGAAGTTATCCCGAAGAAAGTATAAAAAAAATTGAGCTTTGTACTCTAACAAATTTAAGTACTATTTTATATAATGCGATTCAAGAACAGGAACGCCAATGACCTCCATCTGTCAAACGTCGCTTGTTAAGTACAGTTTGCAACAAAATCTCGGAACACTTTTTAGCACTCGGCTAATTCTAGAATAAAATCAAACATTTTTAAACAAACAATAACAAATATTGATAATTAATATTGGCTGATATTTTTTTCATTTATTGAGCTTTGGCTACCTGAATCGTCAACCAAATGTCACTTTATGTTGCGTTCAGAAACTCGATTTAAAACTTTCGTTTACATATAGGATGCATGTTCGTATGTGACGTTTTTTTGCTCACTCTACCTATTTGGTTTGAATTGACAGCTATGACGTCAAAATATGTAGCCCAGTCGGTCCTATTCTTAGTTGAATCGCATTATACACCTGTAGTACCTGTTACCTGCCCAAGTAACCACAACTCAAACTCAATAGTCGCTGATCGTTCTTACTTGTATAGGGGATGTGTACAGAGAAACTTTCAGCTTTTATAAAATAACGAAGGTCTGGCCGTCATGGGCTCTTGGGCTATAAGGTTCATTTGTTATAGTATCTTCACGTCGGGCGGGCGAGTCCAATGGTTCAGTAACGACCTCTCATTTGATTACATGCACTCAGTAAATAATCTGTACAGATTCGGTACTAAATCGACAATAAAACGAGTACGCGCCGATACGGTGAGGAAGACGCCTTAGTTTAAGAAAGAAAAAACTTTATTTATTCCTATACAGTTTGAACTGTTGCAAACCCATTGTCCACAACACAACGCTCACTACTAAAACGCGCGCGCGTCGATAAAGAACAATGGTAACTTTGACTGCAAAGTGACGCCCGGACTTATGACGTCAAAGAATGTATACATGAAGGTATTTGGTTTATCTAACGAGAAAGTACTCATTTAAGATGCGTGGCCGTGGCCGTACTTAATAAACTTTCACACTATTGGTTTAATTATTATTCACTATTTTCTTCGCAGTCTTCTCCATTGTAATGTCTAATTGTTCGATTGATAAATATAATCACCTATTTCGTTTCGACTAGTATTTTTATCATTTGGCATGAGCACTTTGGTGAATACAGGAATACCGTAATAAATCGTCGTGTAACATTTTGTGCTTTTAAAACAAGTGAATGTTTTTATTAACACTAGGCAGTACAGTCTACATACCATTTACTACAAAATGTCATCGGTAAATAAAATTGGCAGTTCTCTTAACGGTTCCGGGTGCGTACGCGTATAACATAACTTATACTTATTTATATAGGTATTTCTTACATTTGGTTTTATATTTTCTGCGTGCACCCACAGTCTTTGTTATAATGTAAGTCAATATACAACACTCGATGTTTTCAATGTCTGAATGAGTAAATTAACGTTATCCGCTGTAATGAGTATGAATATCACGAACTTCCCATCACTTATGCGAAAATCTTGTAAACTTTTTTGGACTCTGTCATATAGCGCATTTTTCCATCATATCATTAGACAAAATGTATAAATTCGCTTAGGCGGGAAAACGGTTGGCCATTGTGGAGTTTCAAATCCTCCCATGAGTGTGTAAGATACTTAATAATAAGTAATAAAAAAGCCATGTAGTGTTCCCAGCGGTATCTGATCGGCAGTGTTTCTCAATCCACATGAAGTGATTATCTTAGTTTCTTTAATTTCTTGTGTCTTTCTTTTTTTTAGTGTCTTTGACTGTCGGCGCATTGTTCGGCTGCACGCTGATTCGGACCTCGCCAGTGGGGCCCACCATGATTTTCACCTGCAAAAAGAAGACATTAAATCTTCTTTAAACCAGTCTAACTTAAGGGACATATCTTTGGAAAAACAGAACAAAATTGTTCTTCCAAGGATCCTTTATACATTTTTGTACCCGGGTTAATGCCGCCAATGTAAGAGCAATACGATTTAAAAAGCATTTTACTGTCTATAAAAATCCAATTTTGATACACACCTACATATCATAGATTACCTACTCATTTCTCATTTCCTAGTTGAGTAGTAGCGGTGTGCTCACTTAGTCCCCTCGTCAGATGTTCATGGCGGAGTAGACGGGGTTGGGGGCGCCGTCATAGGGCAGCGGGATGCTCGTCAGGTCCCCTCGTCGGACGTTCATGGAGTAGAAGACGGTGTTGGGGGCGCCGTTATAGGGCAGCGGGGTGCTCACCTAGCCCCCTCATCGGACGTTCATGGAGTAGAAGACGGTGTTGGGGGCACCGTTATAGGGCAGCGGGATACTCACCTAGTCTCCTCGTTGTACTTTCATGGTTAGTAGACGGGGTTGGGGGCGCCGTCATCGCCCAGGCGGTGTGCCGGCAGGGGGCAGCGGGGTACTCACCATTTGTGTCGGCGAAAAACTTGATTTTGTAGTTGCAACGAGGATATATGAAGATTCCTCCCCGCTTATTTCACCCAGCTTAAAGGGATCGGTGAAATAAGCAGGGCTCTAACCCGTAAAATACCAAAAGTATGAACGCACTCTGAACACCGCAGTCTACAAAGTACGCACCGAGAGTGTGGGTACTGTCATGAAAACCCGTTAGTGCCTGTCCACATCTCTATGTCACGACGTCGGAAATTTACGACTTTGCACGTTTGCACTTTGACGACGTTTGCACGTTATGTTAACGCACCGTGCGACGTTACTGGCACTGTTTCACGTTGATGACGTCGTCACGTAGAGATGTGGACAGGTACTTAGGACTTTGCCACCACCACCTAGTTGCTCACCTAGTCCCCTCGTCAGACGTTCATGGCATAGTAGACGGGGTTGGCGGGCGCCGTCATCGGCGACGTTGCGGGCGGGGCGTTGCTTCCCGCGGGCGCTCCTTCAGGAGCCCCACGCGCCGCCCGCGACGGGGACCCCGGCGCTGGCTGGTATAACGGTGCCGCTACCTAATACAAATAAATAAACCATAATTTAATATCAAGGTAAACGAACTGAAATACCACAATGAGGAGTCATCCTAATTGGCAACGCCCGTGCGTTGGCGCGATGCGACCTCATCGTGCGATAAAAATAATATACCTGTGCTCGTGCGGCGGCTTACGAGCTGTATTAAGAAACCTTTAAAGAAATCTGTATTTTTTAAAATCATCACGCGACGACCACGCATTTTGTCATCTTAGGACCGTTGCCAATTAGGACGATGCCTAATACTACCAATAATAGTGAATACCATTTCGGCGCTACATAACCAAAATAACCACTTTAAATAATTATAATCTTTTGCTTATTAGAGCGGGAAAGATCATATTATACGTACTTAAGTGAGTGAGTTAGCTGCATACCTTTTCTGAATAACAAATCATTTGCTTGCCACCTCCAGGTTGCGGGGCCGGAACAGGCCTATACCTCGCCGGTGCCGGACACAAATTCTGTAAGCAATGAAGAAGCTAAAGTCGTCTATACAACCGATATTTGCTTATCCTGAATCCGAGTTAATCGGTCGAAAGGTTCTCAATTCGTAAACCTGTATTTTATAGAAAATTAAAATAATTGCTTGTAAGTAACCTATGGTAAACTTTCACAGTCCACGACTATTTCTTACTATGGAGATCTCTCTTCCTATAACATCATTATGGAAGCCGTATGCTCCAGCAGTAGAGATATCAATAAGTTACTCATGAATCTCTTACTGACGTCCACTTGCAGCAAATTTATAAAATCTCGATTTACTAAAATTGGTTTTATTAATATAAAAATGCCAAAACGTCACTTTTGACAACATTGCTGCAAGTGGGTGGAGTGGATTTTGATAACAGCATTTGATCTAATTCTCATATACCTACTATGTACCTGGCAAACTTCTTGAGCGACCCAAGACAAGAAAGCATGCGCACACAGTTACCAGAAAGCCATTTCGCCTTCCCCCCAAAACTTAACGATCCAAAAATAAACTGTAATAAACATATCAGACGATATAATCGACTAAATAAATATTGTAGGTTCAACATCATATACATAATACTACTATTCAAATTTAGTTAATTGAAGCTTTTGTATAAAGAGAATCAGGCAAAACTTCTTACGATAAAATAATCAGCTAGACCCGAGAAAATAAAATATAATTTTATAAGTTGACCCGACCGGGGATAGAAACCGGTACCCCGTGAGATTGTGGGGTTGATTTATTACAAAAACACGGTCTTGCTTTTGCGATAGTTATTATTAAAATTATGATAAAACTCTGCAAACGTATAATACGTACACGTATACAAAACACCACGGTACACGGTTGTTATGATGCCTTTTCTCAAGCTTTGTACCCTCCCAAACACGCTCCCAAACATCCCATGACACTTGAGTGTCATAAAAGTTTTTCCAGTCAAACTTCCGAGGACAATTGAGTGTCCTCTGTGGACGGTCGTGGTTTTTGCTCATTAGCACGCTTTAGAAAGCATCCTTAAAGCTGCTCTTTAGTTTAGGCAAAATATGTAGATGGCGTTGTGCATGAAAATGCAGTGCTCTCTGAACTTTACATTTTTTCACATCAGTTAGAAGTACGCGCTCCGCGAAAAAGGGCGATGTCGACTTAGATTAAAACAAAAAGGGTAGATACGGTACGCTCTTACTTGCATCAAACAAAAACTGATCCCACTTTACTAAATATGTAACACTCACACATCCACCTGTTTGTAAAGTTACAATCGAACGAACGAAACTGCAATATAAGTTTCAACTGCAGCGCGAACGAGACGGCGAGATCCGCGTCACTGCACTACCGACCAATCACGCGACCAGTACTCGACGTCACTACAGAGTAGCGTCAGAGAAAAAAATAAAAGTATTTTTTATTAAATATAAGTTTTTTATTAAAATTCAATAAAAAAAATCCACATTGAGCAATTTTCAATCTACTATGAAAAGCTGAGGGAATGAAACTGTTTACAAGTATACCTACTAAAAGTAGCCGCTCCAACTTCTTATTCACATAATAAAAACATTACAGAGATATGTTGATATGAAATTTCCCATGACGTCACGTCTTGGTACAATTTTTACTTAGAAGTGACTTTACAAGCCTTCTCTCCCAAACTTTCACGCGCTCTATCCTTTTGGTATTAGTTTCCAAAACATAGAACCATTCTAAATCGAAAGAAGTCTTAAGGTACTGACAGGTTAAGGGATGACTGTGTATAAAGAACAGTTGTTCCGGCTGGCTGCTGATAGAACTACATACAAGAAGCTAACGGCCAACCTTTAGAATTGAAGAGGCACTGGAAGAAGAAGAAGATTATAAAAACAATTTTAAACCCTACAAAGAATGAAAACGCCATTTCTGTAAGTACAGAGTATATTAAAGCTAAAATGTCTGAAAAAATAAATAAACCTCTTCGAAGAAACCAAAATGTAATGAGTTTAATAAATGCAGCATATTTTTTACCTACATAAATTAATATTCCAAAAAAAAATACTAAATATTTTTTTTATTGACTCTACCCAATTTTTACTCTCGACTGACATTGCAATGACAAATATTCGCGCTTATGCTTTTTCTCCCTCATACAAACGTTTACAAGTGTTGTTGTCTTTTTCTTAATAACAAATACAGAATAAGATTCAAAACAAACAGCATTTTTATGAAAAAATATATTTTATAGTACTTACGAATGAAAAGTGATGCCGTCGGTTTTATTTTTAGTACTTGAGCAATTTGAGCACTTTTTAAAACAACACTTAGGCATTGTTTTATCATATAATCACAAAATTTTAGCAATATTTCTTTTTTACGTTCACATGTACGTCATTTGCATGTCAAGTTGTGACTAAAGCGATTGTGGCCTTGGGCCACAATTTATGCGGATCACTTTTGTGAGGCTAGTGCCGTATCTACCCTTTTTGTTTTAATCTAAGGATGTCTAGGACGTTTGAACCGAAATGACCCCATTTTTTGTAGAGAACACTCTTTTCTCATTATTTAATCTTAAAGTGTGATATATCCACATGTTTCTCAAGATTTACCTGCGTCAGTGATGTGAAAAGATCATAGTTTTATTTGTGTTACAATTAAAAACCTAGAAAAATGTTAACACGTAAGTTTTATTTGTTACCAGCTATTTTTTTTGAAGTTATACTTCTTTAGGCGCGTTATGAAAAAATGATGAGAGTGAAATTTTAAGATGCGCGCGCATCACTGTAACACAAAAAATTAACAGCATGAAGTTCATGCTGTTACTTTTGTGTTTACCCCACATTAAAAAAATCTACCAACAAAATAGAAATAGAATCTCTATTTTGTGGGTGCTAACGATTGCATTGTGAAGGCCTATCAAAAGTATTTATTAATCTGGAACAACGGAACCAAAGCGCGATTCAGGAGACTACAGCGCCATCTCTTGACCATTGGTGTAGTAGAACCAAAACCCACATCTTTATTTTTTTGTAATAAACTAAAAAAAAGTATTTATTAATCTGGAACAATGGAACCAAAGCGCGATTCAGGAGACTACAGCGCCATCTCTTGACCATTGGTGTAGTAGAACCAAAAACCACATCTTTATTTTTTGTAATAAAGTAACAGTTATAGGTATTCATATTTATAATATTTATCCACATGTTTCTAGTTTGTATATTCGGAATACGTGTTTGAGTTTCATACAAGTGCAAATCACATATGTTCTAATAAATTATATTCAGTAGCGATTTTAATTGAATATTTTGATTATTTATTTATTTTTTCAAATTAAAACTGAACTTTATTGACTGTGACCTTTTCCAGACTTTTTATTAATTTATTGTAATTAATTATTTGCATGCAATTAAAAACTAATTTTAAACGATGCCAAAGAAGGATAACTTCTCACGCGCCTACATAAGTACACGCACCCATTTTTTTTCTTTTGTTTAGATAAGTTAAGATTTTTTTTTGCACGACACAGTAACAAAACAAGCAGTCAACGAAACAAGTAGAAAAAATACAATATAGCACAAAGGGTGGTCTTATCGCTAATGAGCGATTTGTTCCAGGCAACCCAATGAGCTGGAAATAAAAGAAGGTAAGCGATTAAGGGAGGTTGTGCGGAATACAGGGCAAAAAAATTTCTGATAGCTAGATAAAAAAGAAGACGAAAGAAAAAAAAACAATACAATAAATGATATTTTAATATATAGGCAAACATAAATACTCAAATCACAACGCTACCGAAACCGGTGAGTTCTAATGCAAGATTTATTAAAAATCAAATTCCTTCGACAAAAAGTGCTCCTTAACTAGAGACTTAAAACAGTCTAAAGTTTGGGCATGCCTAATTTTTTCGGCCAGGGAATTCCAGAGTTGGATAGCATGTACGGTATACGGTACGGTAAAAGAATGGCTTTACACCTTGGAAAAGTTAGGAGGAGTGAAAAGAAGAAGATTGTTTTTCTTATCTTAACCTTTTTTCGAAATACATATTCATTTATGAAAAATTACTATAAAAAAATTGCAAACATTTGTCGGTAGTCATTGAATCCAAATGACTACCGACTCGGATTTTTGCTTAAAACCAAGCCTGTATTAATAAACAACTTAGGTACTGAACTATTCAGGTATTGAAAATACTGGGCAAAGGAGATTGCTCAGCTTCCATACATGTTTGCCCTAAAGACCAATAATCATGAAAAATTGTTTCCTAGATTCGAAATTATATATAAATTACTGTAGAAACGAATATTATTGACGGACACCTCTGAGAACTTCTATAAACCATATACACTGAACATATTAAAAAAAAATGGGTGCGTGTACTTATGTAGGCGCGTGAGAAGTTATCCTTCTTTGGCATCGTTTAAAATTAGTTTTTAATTGCATGCAAATAATTAATTACAATAAATTAATAAAAAGTCTTCAAAAGGACACAGTCAATAAAGTTCAGTTTTAATTTGAAAAAATAAATAAATAATCAAAATATTCAATTAAAATCGCTACTGAATATAATTTATTAGAACATATGTGATTTGCACTTGTATGAAACTCAAACACGTATTCCGAATATACAAACTAGAAACATGTGGATAAATATTATAAATATGAATACCTATAACTGTTACTTTATTACAAAAAATAAAGATGTGGTTTTTGGTTCTACTACACCAATGGTCAAGAGATGGCGCTGTAGTCTCCTGAATCGCGCTTTGGTTCCGTTGTTCCAGATTAATAAATACTTTTGATATTATAAATATGAATACCTATAACTGTTACTTTATTACAAAAATAAAGATGTGGTTTTTGGTTCTACTACACCAATGGTCAAGAGATGGCGCTGTAGTCTCCTGAATCGCGCTTTGGTTCCGTTGTTCCAGATTAATAAATACTTTTGATAGGTCTTCACAATGCAGTCGTTAGCACCCACTAAATAGAGATTCTATTTCTATTTTGTTGGTAGATTTTCTTAAT